AAACGTTTGGTGTATTCCGAGTAATTCACTAATTGTATTTGGAAACATCCATAAAATAAAATCTAAGCACAGTACTGAAGTATTACTGACGGGTTAGCGGGTAGAGTAAACAGCTCCCAATCTGCAACAGTTGGCTGCTGTTTGGTTCGGATGGAGCTAAGAGGTTATGTACCCAGTGTATTCTGAATTTACTTTGTTCAGTTTATTTAGAAGATCGGTTACTTCGATCCTTAGCTCAGACAGAATTTCAGCACAGCAGCGGGTCTGTGTTGTTCAGCTGCATATCCTAGTGTGGCATATTTACATTCTAAGATTACAAAACCAAATTCTTGTGTAGGCATGGAATGGTACACAGATAATGGCTTGATTAAGCAAGAAAACATATTCAGATGTGCACATAACAATCTGACGGTGCTTTGGGTGCACACGGTGTTATTGTTACTTTATCTGTAACCTTTATATAATTTAGGTGAATAATAACTTTTGGATTTGATTTAAATGGCACATGTGCTCCAAACAGAAGGCCTCATTGTTTAAAATATAGGATTGCTGCCACAATCTATTTAGTTAAGAAGACCTATTGTTCCAGTGTATTAACAGAAATGATCTTTTGCCATCTTTATATTTCATCCAAACATGCAAAAAATCAGAGTCATTTTAATTAACTGATTCAACAGTCAAATATTAAGTAGCAAATTAGCACGGTGACTGTCATTTTTCACCTGGTCTGCTCTCTTGCCAGAATCTGTCTTCAAATACATTCATTTGAGCTTTCTTCTGGTTCATGGAATAGGCAGAATTGTTGCTTTTTGTGCATGACAAGTTCCTGCATATAGTCTAGGCTGAGTACGCTGCATTGAGGTGTCATCCTTCGGAAGAGCGGTCAAATCCAAGTCACATCATTTCACTATTTTAATTTGAATCGCTGTTATTATTTCGATTCCATTAGTTACATTTTTGATTATGTCAGTTTGAAAAGTTTGTTTATCTCTCTGATTCCTTTTGTGAGATCCTCCTTAACTCCTCCACCCATCTCTCCCTTACCGCCCACCACCCTTAAACAGTACCTGAAGAAAGCACTCAGTTGTACAGCAGAAGACACAATCTTTGAAAGCGTAGCTAAGTGTCAGTTTGGTTCACCAACTCCATACGTATTCAAGCTGACAGTTCAAAAAAGAATACACTCAGATTCTCTGGTAATTCAGAAATCTGTTCAAAGCATTCAGGACAATAATAATCAAAACAAATCCTTGTGTCATTAACACGCCTCAAAGCGCTTCACAGAATATACTGTCAAGTGAATTGACTGTGTATTTGTGAGTGAACACGGCTGCCGATTGCGCACAGTGGTGTCCCCCAAACAGATGTGTTTCTAAAATATTTTTAAATATATGTATAGAAGAAAAAATATTTTCATTTGCTATTGTATCCATTAACAGAGGAAGAACTCACAGTGCTTCCCATAGTGAGTTATTATGAAGTGTTGTGCCTGACATGTATCAAACACATCAGCTAATCGACTTTGGAAGCTCAACAGCAACAAAAAACAATCAATCTCTTTTAATGAGAATTTTAACAAAGTAGGAATATTGGCCAGGACACCGGGAAATCTCCCTGTTCTTCACATTGGTACCACGGTACCTTTAATTTAACACCTACTTGAAACATCAGAACAGCTAAACAGGATCTAGTTTCAACATCACATCGAAGGGATGTTCCCTTCTTCTCAGCAATGTGCTGTTACTTTGATTCTGAGCTCTGGGGAAATCAACCATGGAAAATTTAAAAGGAAACTGTCTAGTATCTATTGTGATTGCATCAACCAGATGTCTCATAGATTTTCTTAATGAATGGCTATATCTTCTCATTTTTCAGCTAAACATTGAAGGAGATGGAGGAAATAAAACAAAGGGAAGCTGACAAGTTAAATCAAAAGATGGGTTTGGGTGAAGAAAGTCCATCAGCCCATCTGATCTCATCCCTTTGAAGTACATGTCCTACTGTCCCCTCATCACAGCACCAAGGCTTGGTGGATATTTGGAAGATACACTAAGTAATGTCCCCAAATCAGAAAGAAGTTTCACGAAATAAGCAGGAAGGAAAAATCCCAGAATATGAAACGTTTAGAAGATTATTTTTAGAAAAACTTAAATATTTAAAAAATATGTTTTTAAATTATTTATAAATGTATTCATTGCTTGTTGACAAACTGTCTTTTATTGATCAATAAATCAATCTATTTTAATAATAATCCTTGCATTTGATATAGCGCCTTATCACGTCTTCAAGATATCTCAAAGCGCTTTACAGAATATACTACAATGTGTAGTGACTGTGTATTTTGTGGGTGAAATACGGCTGCCAATTGCGCATAAAAAAATTTTTTGATCGCGCTTTACACCTTTCCCTCACCATAGATTTCCCCGCCCCCAAGCTTCCTTGAAATTCCTTGAAACCACTGTAAGGAAAATTGAATGTGATTGCCATACACAGAAAAAAGTGTTTGATTTCCAACTGTCACATAAAGTCTAACTCAATAAATCTACATGAATATCTTACATTTCAAGCCTGACATTAAAAAAAAGCCTCACAAACTACAACTAAAATCTCCAAGGAAATGGAGGCCAAATCTCAGCGACTACTTGGAGGAATTATACACAAACATTCTCACAAATTGGAAAATCTTGGAAAATCAACAAACTTCAACATCACAAAAGCACTCAACCATCAGAGTTTATTTTTTTCATCCATGACTGAGATTGAAATAGTTTAGGGTCAACGTCAGATTGCTCCATGTTAGGAACCAGGAACAAATTAAAGTCAACTTTCAGTGACTTTTTTGAATTTAAATGTAATCTCATTTCAACAATCAACAGCAGTGTTACACGAAGGATTTGCAACCAGCTGAAAATATTTGGGAGATGAAATTTTGCACCAGAAAGTACATTCGAACAACTGGTATTACATTAATCTCGGCAACAGTAGGACTAAAGCTAATATCTCTAATAGCACTAGAAAGATTTAGATTTTATTTGAAAAATCAGACGCTTTCGAATGCACTTCATTTTGACCATCGTTTTAATTGCCTTGTTGAAAAAGGAAATTAATTTGCTCCATAATCTTAACAGTGAAGATATTTCAATCAATAGTGCTGCTTCGAATGGATCTGGCATTAAAAACTATTAATTTGGAAATATTGCACGGTGTTTTAATATCAAATGTTGCTGCTGTCTCTGCTGGTCCTGTCTGATGTTGCCTTCTGATAACATTTCAAGAATTGTATTTGTGCATTTGTGTGTTGTCGCATCGTTAAGACTCCAGCAGTACCCCAACGTACGCTCTGGGGACCCCATTGCCTATTGCCAACCTGCACCTAATACTTTCCGGAATTAGATAAGCAGGATGTGTCCCTCCACGGAGAGAGCGCGCATTCCATTCCGATCATCTCTCTCTGGAATTTCCACGTGTAGGTCGGATGCGTGGCATTCTCAGCTTGGTTTGGATACTTTTAAGCACGGCGACGGGTTTCCGCATGTGTCAGACACCCGCCTGATGAAAAAAAAATCTGTGCATTGCTACCTGTGTAATTTCCACCCTCCGATCAAGGTCAAATGCAAAAGTGGTATCATGGGAAGGAGTGGAATGGACAACAGTGACTTAAAGGAACACTTGAATCTAGACACGTCTGTCCCTTCGCATTGAATGGGACTGATATTGCTGACGACATGTACCCTGAACAAACAGAGTGGTTTGTAAACCTGATAAAACAAACTGCTGTGAATGCTGTCTGTATTGTAACAAAGGCGCTCTGAATTTCTGTTAAAGGGACAGTCACATCCAGACCTTAAACGTTTCAAAGGCGATACTTTTTTAACAAAAACGGCTGATATCCCAAGTTGAGGTTTCCATGACACTTTAGTTACATTTGGGGAGTCTTTCAGTCACCGAGAGTCCCTGTTTTTCAGAACTTTGGGGAATTACCCAAAACATTTCTTTGATGTTTGGTTTCTCAAATAAAGGCTTGGAAACCCCATTTGTTTCAAAACATCTCCGTGAAACCAGTGGGGTTTCCGATTGTTAAGGCATAATGTTGTTAGTTTCATGGAGAGGTTAGTGAAACTGTGGCACTCATATGGATTTGCTGATGCCAACCTTGGTCTGGTATGGTGTTGTGTCTGTACCTCCCTCTCCCACACCCCCCCCCCCCAATGCCCCCCGCTCCACTGGTCGTCATTTGGTGTATTCCAGCTCCAAGATATGTGTCAGGATGGACAGTGGATTCACTGAGTCCATCCCTCTGGAAAAGGGGGTTCGCTCCCTCCCTTCCCTCCCCTCACCCTGACCATTTCCCCCCAATGCTCGGGTCCTGACCCAACTGTCCAGCGCCTTGGGACGTCCTCCCGAAGTGAAAGGCGCTCTATAAATGGAATCATGTTGTTGTTGTTGTTGTTGTTAAGGCCAGACTGCCCATTGTCACCCACCCTGGTTGATGTGCTCATGGACCATGTGTCGGATGACATGGATGGGGGGGAAATACTTGGGGTATCTGTTCTGAGTTGTGACTCTACTCTTTGCCCCCTCCGCCCTCCGCCCTCCACCCTCCACCCTGGGACTGTCCTTTGCCTCTCTGTATTTTTGGGACTTTTGTCCCTCTCTCTCTCTCTGTTACTGGCACATTTGCCTCTCTCCTGTTCCCTGGGGGTGGGTGGGTGGTGGGGGGGGGGGCAGTCCCTTGTTTCTCTCTGCCCTGGGAAGGGGGTGGGTGGGGTGGGGTGGGGGGTGGTCCAGGGACACCACTCATGCCCTCTGCCTCCCTTTCCGACCTGCCCGACCCGACTTGGGTTGGTCGTCCACTTGTTGCTCTCACCTGATGGAGAGGCGCTGTGAGCGCTGCTGAAGGAGGAGGAGGAGCAGCAACAGAAGGTGATTAGCATTGAGGGAGTGAGTGAGTGAGTGAGAGAGAGAGAGAGAAAGAGAGAGACACACCCTACGCCTGAAGCAGAGAGGAGAGGAGAGAGAGAGAGAGAGAGCAGTGGGAGGCAGTCGGACTGACACCAGAGTCAGTTCTCAGCCATTGTCCTCTCCTCAACGGCAGCGACTTACCCACAAAGAGAGCCCCAGAGAGAGAGAGAGAGACAGAGAGAGAGAGAGAGAGAGAGGGGTTCACACACCGCAGTCTCCACAGTCCGACTCCCCTTCACTGAAAAGGTAACACGTTACAGCAGCGGCTTAAAGAGACCTTCAGACCAACCAACACACACACACCACACAACACACAAAACTTTTTCACAACTCCTTCGGGAAACCAAATACGTCGTTTTCTTTCATTTGGAGAGAGAAAAAAATAACTTATTTCTTGTGGTGGGATTTTTAAAAAAAAAAATATATGCATATGTTTTTTTAATATATATATGTGTGTGTGTGTGTGTGTGTAAAATTTTTTTTTTTTTTGGGGGGGGAGGCATTGCAAACTGTCTTAACGGGAGAGACTGGGAGTTGCACTGCAGAATATTGAATGGGAAACCTTTCTGCTGACTGTCGCTGTACTTTGCTCTGGAACTCCATCCCCCGGTGCCTTCGCCTTCGCTTCCTCCCTTTCCTCCTTCAAGGCCGGTCTCAAGACCTTTCTCTTTGACGGTGCCTTCGGCTCCCCTCTCGACTCTCTACCCCCCTTCCTCGCTCCCTCCCTTCCCTCCCCTCACCCTGACCATTTCCCCCCCCCAATGCTCGGGTCCTGACCCAACTGTCCAGCGCCTCGGGACGTCCTCCCGACGTGAAAGGCGCTCTATAAATGGAATCTTGTTGTTGTTGTTGTTGTTGTTTGCTGGAGTTTTGAGTGTTGTCAGGAGCCGCTTCCAACACAGTTGATGGTGAACGGTCACCAAAAAACCCAGAGTGGGTGAGAGAGTCAGGGCTGTGCAATCTGATTTAATTTCGCTGTTGCTTTGGGTTAAAATTTAGTCCTGAGGTTTCGCTTGGCTTTTTTTTTGTCTTCCGAAGGGGTTTGTTTGTCGGTTGGAAATTGGAAGTTTCTTTTTTTTCTCTCTCTCTCTTTGTTTCTTTCTTTTCTTTCTCTCCTGCCCTCATAGCAGAATGGTTAAGTCACTGGGGATGGACGTTGTCAGATCTCTGCATCACTGCTACTGACTTTGTAACCTCTCTCTCTCTCTCTCTCTCTGTTTCCTCTCCTCGTCTTCTCTTTCTCTCCTCTCCCCATCTCTCCCTCCCTCCTCTCCCCATCTCTCCCTCCCTCCTCTCCCCATCTCTCCCTCCCTCCTCTCCCCATCTCTCCCTCCCTCCTCTCCCCATCTCTCCCTCCCTCCTCTCCCCATCTCTCCCTCCCTCCTCTCCCCATCTCTCCCTCCCTCCTCTCCCCATCTCTCCCTCCCTCCTCTCCCCATCTCTCCCTCTCTCCTCTCCCCATCTCTCTCCCCCTCCTCTCCCCATCTCTCTTTCTCTCCTTTCCCCATCTCTCTCTCTCTCCTCTCCCCATCTCTCTCTCTCTCCTCTCCCCATCTCTCCCTCCCTCCTCTCCCCATCTTTCTCTCCTCTCCTCATTTCTCTTTCTCTCCTCTCATCTCTCTCTCTGTCTCCTCATCTCTCTCTCTCTCTCCCCTCTCCCCATCTCTCCCCTCTCCCCATCTCTCTCTTTCTCTCTCTCTCTCTCGTTTTAATCCCAAACACTGCTCAAATTGTACTCATTTACAAATCCCGTCTGATCTATTGATACACATCGCAAAAATATGTGCTTTTCACTGAGAGGACTCATCTGCATCCGAGCAGACTCAATAATCTGATTCAGATGTGATTGAAACCAGATGAGTTTTTTTGGGGGGGTAGTTTTTTTTTTTCTCTTTCTCTTTTCTCTCCTTTTTTTTGGGTGGGGTTGAGGGGGGTGGGGGGTGGGGGGTAGATTGTTTCAGATTGCAATAGTGGATGATGTGATGAGTGGAGAGGAAACTGCCAGGTTTTGTGTTAACTGTTGCATTTCAGCCAATGTTTTAAGACTTTTTTTTAATACGGGAATATGAACTCCCCATCAGTTTGGTGACTTAAAACTCAGGACCGTCCCCCTCTTGTAAACTTGCAATAGATTTGCTGTTGTGACTCTTCTTTCACACACTCCGAACAACGCACCAGGTTCCAGGTCTCGTCTCACTGTTACAGCATTTGCCAGAAGTTGATCTGAATAGACGTTCAGTGAAGTGGAACTACCTTGTGTTTCCAACACTTTGCCTGCAATTGCCTGGACCTCATGTTCTTCCACCACCCACCACACACCACACACAAACATAATACACAATCTCCAAGTCTGTTATGTGAAGTGTGACCAGCGTTAATGGGACTTGCTTTCTCAGCAAACGTGCGCAGTCGCCTGCCGCGTTTTGCCCCCAAAATATACGGGCGATTCACTTTACAGTATGTTCTGTGGAGCGCTTTGAGGCATCTGGAAGTCGTGATGAGGCACTATAATCAAATGCGAGGATTATTATTATAAATTTAATCGTTTCATCAACAATTTGCAGTTATATAGTATAGCGCCCGTCACACGGGATTGTGTCCTGGAGCGTTTAGAAATCTTAACACAGGAAAAGGGAGCCCTGAAATAAGACGTGTCTCAGCATGAGTCACACGGAAGTGCTAGAGCAGGTACAGATCACCTATTCTGTGGTCATCATGACTTGCCAGTTGTTTAATTCGCACAATCTATTTAACTGCTGTACAGTTATCTACAGAGCTGAACAGCGACCTGAAGATTGTGGGTTCGAATCCCAAATGGGTCCGTTAACCCATTGGAGGTCATTTAAAATTTTAAATACCATTTAAAAATATAGGGGATGGGAAGAGAGAGGAGCTTAACTGGCTCCGTAAGGAGATAGGTGCTTGTTAATGGTTGACCAACCTGCCTGGCTCATTGATAAGATTTGAGGGTGTAGCCGTAATCTCAACCAAGGTAAAGCCCAAACATAAGAGCAACCTTAGCTGGTCACTCTGTGAAAGCTACCAGTGCTTCACACTGAGCTGAGCATTTTGTTATAGCTGGAAGACCTGCTGAAGGAACGAGCCAGAGAAACCTAAATGTTTAGGACCAGTTCAAGATTCAACACTTCGCACACCTATCATTTAATTCTAGCTAGAAATATGTCCAATGTTTCATTCGCTAGGTAAATTGAAACTAATGATTTACTCTTCCTTCTTCTTCCTTTGCTGTGCTTTCTTAATGAAGCAATACTCTCTCACTGCAATATATACTATTTCTAGTCCAGAAGACATTTGGGATATTTTTTACCGAGATAACTGGCTCATTGCTGTTCGATGCTAGGAGTTATGCAAGAGCACCACTCCTAGCAATTAGCATGAAACATGTGGTAATCCTTCCTAATATCTCAAATCAGGAACTCACTCAGGGAATTAGATGGACAAGCTGTATCCTATCGCTCTATATGACAAATCACATGGAAACATTATTGAGCTGTGCATCAGTGCACTGACACATTGCTAGTCATTTTTCTAGACTAAAATTTTTACTTAGACTTTCAGGTTTACTTGATCCAACATGCCTTTGATAAACTATTGCAAAAAAATGTCCAAATCTTATCTTCGATGTTTTGAAAGCCTTAAAAGTTGATCTTCTTTTTCATCTTCACTTGTTTTAGCAGGTTCTGTCCCTTATCAAAATACTTTGCAAACTTCATATAATCAATGTTGATCACATGTCGGATGCACTTCCTTCCAGCCTTCAAAACAGCCTTAAATAGCCTCCATCATTGTCACAGGCAAGTTTCCTTACTCCACACGTCTGTGTTTACCTAGCAGTAAGTAGGAGCCTGGTTGTTAGTTGATTGGCGGATCGCTTTCTGGGGGTAATAATTCCTCCCCCCACCAAAAAAAAATTTGGTCACTCACTTCACAACGGTTTGTGGGACACTGTTGTGTGCAATTGGCTGCTGTGTTTCGCCCGCAAAATACAGTAAATTCACTTTACAGTGTATTCTGTGAAGCACTTTGAGACATCTCAATGACTTGATAAGGCGCTATGTCAAATGCAAGGATTATTATTATTATTACGTACCACACCTGACCAGTTATTTGGGAATTGTACTATTTGCTGTTGAACAAGGACAGGGATTTTTAATCTATCCCTACAATAACTTTCAAGGAACCACTTTAAAATCATGCCATGTAGTTACTTCGTGGTAAGGGGTCTGGATTGGATTTTTAAACAAGATTGATGTGATTGTGACCCAATGCACTATAGCTTAAAATTATAGCTGAACCTCTCTTAGATAGCGAACTATAGTCACTGGTGCACAGTAACATGACTAGTTATCTGACAATAAAAAACAGAATGCACTTCCTGTATTTTTTATAGCCACATCAATGCTTTGAAGATGTCCTCACAATCTGCTTCCGGTTGGGGGGGAGTACAGTGCACCAAGCGGAGACAGTTCATTGTTCTATTACACCGGTTGTACTTCCACTGCCATTGATCCAGTCCTGAACATGTTCGTCTTGATCTCTTGCACCGGGTGTTATTTTTAGTTGCATATGATGGAAGCAATCTGCAGATACATCAAAACTGTTGTCCAGTCTGTCTTTTGAGCAATACATAATCAGCGGCACATTCATTTTTGCCTGTATAGAAGCTGTCTTGGGTTATGTATTCTTTAGTCCATTCTCATCCTTGGCTTGCAGTAGGTTTCTGTCATATGTAAAGTTAACATCAAGAATTTGCAGTTGTTAAATTCCAAGTAAAATGATGTAATGATAATATTTTTTTGAATGCTGACCGAATAATAGCTATTTAAATCTAAGTGTGCCCAAAAGGGTCTTTCTAGTGTTAAACTTTAATTTAGAAATGGTGCTCATGTTGTTTCGTGTTTCAAGCACAATGGGACTCTGCAGTTTAGAGCAAATGTCTTAAGCGCACTGCTGAGCTCCACATTCCAGCTACTGTAGTTTTTACAGAGCCAATATTAGGCACTGCAGTAACTGTCGAACAGGGCTTTTCCCTTGATTTTCCCATGTGCCATTCCCAATCTGAAATTTCCTTCCCACTTGGAGAGAAAATGAATGGAATTGAATCAGGCACTTTACCAGAACAAGAGGAGACCAAGGCAGTTTACATACATCTCCCAGGAGCTTGTTGGAGAGAAACATTAGTAGATATCTAGGAAAGGGTGTCTACCTCTATCCTCATCCAGTAAATGATGAAGGGAAGAGTTGCAGTAGTATAAAGTGTCAGTAGCATTAGATATAAATTAGCATGGACATACGTATGAGGGAGGAAGGAATAAGAAGGCTTTGGGATGGGAGGAAGGAGTGGGTGAAGATTCACATGGTACAGACTAGTTGGGCCAAATGGCCTGTTTCTATGCTGTACATTCTATTTAAATCTATGTAAGTTTGAGAAGTCACTTAATTGAATGATAAAAGTTTGAAATGAGAAAGTGCTTGGATATTACAGGTTTAAATGTTATATAACTGGAGTGGGTTTGAGAGGGCTCTTGATCAAATCTGAAATATAATACTTACACCCACATAAGGATACAAAAAAAGCTCTTAAGCAGAGTCCTCACAAATAGGTGGGGAGTAATGCAGTCCATCTCATTGTTTTCATAATAACTGAGACACATCATTGCTGTGGAATGCCATGAATTTTTGTATTTAAATGTCAGGATTTCAGTGATGGGAAATAAATTGGCCTCGGCTCAATGCATATCTTATAGCTGGGTGTGGAGTAATTTTGCAACAATGAACAAAAATGTCAGAATAGTTTAGGCTCAGGACAAAATAAAACCATGTTGCAGTGGGCCTTAAAACTTTCTTTTTAGGTGGGGATATGATTCACCCCCCAACTTTTAAGATCATGCCATTATTCTGCACAATCTTATTTGAAAATGTAGACTTTTGCATGTACAGTAGTTGAAAAATTACGGGAGTAGGCCAATTAATTTACTTGTCATGAGCTAGCTAATGTGATATTAGTTGAGCGCTGGGCTCTTTAGAGCGTGTGTTAAAGAGAACTGGCACTGTTGTGATAATGAATCAAGTGCTGAAATGTATTTATGGTTCCCCATTTTATTACATGGATAATTTGCATGATGTATGGCTGAACAATGTAATCTAAACAAGCTGGCACCTGTGTGTCACATTTTGCTGTGCAAGACGCGGGGGCATATTTAACTAGTAAAGTTTACTGTTTTGCAATAATTAAATACATTGAATTATTCCAATAATAAGTCATCAATGGAACCTTGCGCTGTCAAAAACATTGGGAAAAGTCCTAGATAAATTGGGTGGATTTGTAAGACATATTTAGGATATATTTAAGACAATGCTCTTCATGTATCTGTATTGCACAGTCGCTATAATTATTGATTTAATTCCCTAAGCATATTTGATATGTTTTGAAACAATGTATATACTCACACATACACATCCCTTCTATTTTTAAAGCCTGACCAGCCTGTTATTAGATTAAAAATTAAATGAATTTTCTGGTGTAATTTTAGATCTGGTCATACCAGAAGTGGGAGCGTGTCATTGAAACGGAGACTTGACAATTTCCACCCATCATAAGTTGCCAGGCATTTTCCCACACGTGGCGTGATCTCGTCCAACCCATCTGGTACCCATTGGGAAAATCTTTAATTCCAAATGAAACCATCATAAAGCAAACCATCGCCTACAGAATACACAGTCACTAAACTTTACATTATATCCTGTGAAGTGTTTTGAGATGTCCTCCAGACGTGAAAGGGGCCATATCAAATGTAAAGATTATTATTATTATTAAGCATTGAAATAATACTTACGATTTTTGGAGGGTCAGCCGAGCGACACCTGTCTGATATTTATGAAGAAAATTGAGATCTCAAATCTGAATCAATGTCTGTATACAGTACAATGCAAATTTATATATATATATAGTGCCTTTCACGTTGGGAGGATGTCCTGTGAAGTAAGTGAGTTGATCATATAAACTGGAACTCATTGCATGAGAATATGGGGAATTAATTTTATGCTCCAAAAAAAAGTAATGGCAGATCCTCTAAATGGTTAATGTGTACCTTGGGGCTCCATGGGCTGTGTGGGCCAGTGTGGTTGAACATTGTTAGAAAGTTGAATGCCTTTGATGATGTGAAGCCTTGTGATGTCAGGGGAACACGGTTGTTAGAATACTATGGTTCCTCCCCTAAACCTTGGACCCAGGAGTGAGCTGTCCATAGCTAACTTTCTCTTTTTCTGTTTGGTTTTCAGGGGAAACGATGGCGAAATCCGAGGTGAAAACGTCCCTCTTGGACAACATGATAGGAGTGGGAGACAGCGTGTTGTTAGAACCTCTCAGTGAGGACACCTTCTTAGAAAATATCAAGAAGCGCTTTGATCACAGTGAAATATATGTAAGTCCCTTTGCCATTTAAATGAAATAACAACACGTTATTGCACCCGTCCAGATGATATTTGTCAGCCAAACAGCAGAAATGTAAGCGGCAAAATTCTATTTTCTAAGAGGATTGAGTGCTCTACCCCACAAGGATTATGTGCGGGCATATGTTCAAATCTAAACTAATTGGCTGTCTTCGTGAGAACCCTGTTGAGGTATAAATTAGATATAGGAGATGCAAAGTTGCTCACAGTTTCAGTTCCTGGTGCAGATCAAGAGACTGGTTTAATGAGAAGCTAATCAGATCCTTCTCCCTGGAGGAGACAATTCCATCAAATAGTGAATTACCCGCAAAGTGTTTAGCAAAGAAGCCCTTCCGAATGATTGGACATGATTATGAATCAAAAAAAGTTTTCAGGCTGGCGATATTCCTTCTGTATGTTTCCATGATGAGTTAGGGGCTAGAGCAAATAAAACGATTATTATTATTCCATAGTGAGAGCAGCTCTCTTTCTGCACACTTGCACAGCATCCACTATCACTACCCAAGGTGGCTGTTTTGCACACTCAATTATAACATGAGTTACCTTGAGTATTAAACATTTTAGAGCCCAGCGAGAACCATACAAACATACAACACAGAAGGTGACCATTCTGCTCACTGTTCCAAGCTTTCTGAAAGAGCTAACAATTTAGTCATATTCCCTGCCTTTTCCCCATCCCTGTTATATTTAGAACCTCCAATTAGTTTATGTTTGAACATATGTCGACACATAATCCTTTTCTGTTCTATCAGAAAGTGCCTTTTGTGCACCAGGGAATTTAAAGAGGCATTTCCTAATGCATCAGAACTCATACCTATCTGAATGATGGTCAAACTCCCATCTGAAGCACTTTTCATACATGGAAAGCTCATTAAGCAAAGTTCTTTCTGCTTTGCTGTAGATTTTATAGGAAATGTATTAATGGACAAATAACTTGCGACCTTCAACTTTTCTTTTGGAAGATCAGCCAACAAGAAGGCTGGCCCTTTACACCAGCAGCTTTGAACTTGGATTTGTTTGGAACCTGTGCTGGTGTGATTTACTCTCCTCCTACAGCACAAATTAGAAAGGGTCTCTTATGGTACTGTTTATTTTATAATATGCTTTTATGTAACAGCATGGAGAGGCTGCGTGGAGAGTGCAGCCTTATGTCTCCCACCCACGTTAACGAGAGCTGAGCCAGTCTGCAGAGTGAGTGAGAGAGAGTTTAGGGCAGCAGGTATTAAGGGAATATAAATTTATTATTGCAAACAAAAGCTTGTTCATTAGATTTCCCCCCTCTTTCTCCCTAACCATTTCAGATGGTTTCTGACAAGCTATTAAACATTGTGGCTATAAAAAGAAAGATATACATGAAATGAAAGATGTTTCTGACTATAACCCGTCCTCTGAAATCCCGAATGTTAGTTTTTTGAACACCACCAAGCTTATGTGCATCTGTAAACTCTAGAATACAGTCGATTGATTTTAAAAAAAAAACCCTTATAAGTTTCCGTTAAACATTCTAGTCGTCCACTGCTTTTTACAAAAAAAGTTTTGATGCAGTAAAGCCATCCCTTGGTAATTTAAAATACAGTTAACTAAACGGTAACAAACTAGGGTGAGAATTTTGTCTCAATTTGTTTTGTTTGCATGTTCGATATGTGAGGGGAGTAATGGAAGGAGCTCTGTTAAAGACAGCGTAATATCGCACTCTGATATTTCTGCCTTCTAAGATTTATTGGTACAGTATTATAATAATCCTTTACATTTGATATGCCTTCTTTCCCGTTGGGAGGACGTCTCATTAAAGTTTTCATAGAAAACACTGTAAAATGGAGTGACTGTGCATTCACTTTGCCTAGATCTTTGATTAATTATGAAATGAATTAAGGATTCAAGAAATAGTGAATATTTTTGTCTTTTAAACGGTCCAGAGAATATCCCTATAAATCTGTTTTTTTTTAAAAAAAAACCTTCCATGAAAAACTAAGCCACTGAACCACTGGAGTGCAAATGCAGAGGATGGTGAATTCACGGGTTTAATGCACACTGGTCAAAAAAGTACAAATCATTGAAGAGTAAGTTCTTCCTGCAGTTATCCAACCATACGATACTCTTCCAGAAGACGTTTGCATATGTTTTCCTGTAATTTCAAGGCTTGTGGTTTCTGGCAGTGCTGTGTGTTTTCCGTTAATCCACCAATAGACTATATTTTTCATGCGGCTTTCGTCTCTCTGTCTCGGGGATGATGTCAGCTATACTGTACACTTTCCTGCAACGTATTGGCAACTTGTGTTTGCTGACTGATGGCTTCTCATGCCATGCAATGCATCATCTGATCGGCTGAATTGGATGTTTTTTCTTGGTGGCAAGATCTGCACACAATGTGGTTAACCATGTGCTTCTTTAAATGATCCTCAGAGGACCTCAGCCCAGCCCATGTGGAGACCAACCTGAATCCATACATTAACCATTCTAAGTGTGAGGCAGCTGGTTCCTAGGCTTTGTTCAGCTAGTGCCAGCTTTATTTAATTATGTTTCTGCTTTTCCTGCACAAAACTTAATTAGTAATTCAACTTGTTATTCCCTCGTTGTTTCTTCTGCACCTTGTTTCTTCCTTTCCTTTTCCATTTTCCATCCACAGTTTTAACTTTCATTTACCAAATCCCAATAATCTAAATTATGGAATCATCTCAGTTGACCTTCTCTGAATTCTTTCTAATATCTATAATAATAATAATCCTTGCATTTGATATAGCACCTTATCATGTCTTTGAGATGTCTCAAAGCGCTTCACAGAATATACTGTAAAGTGAATTGACTGTATATTTTGTGGGAGGAACGCTCACAAAATGTACGTAGTACATAAATACATTATCTATGTATCTCCACCTTATATACCATATTGTATGTCGAAAAAAGACGCAGTAGTGTGCTCCTATCTCTTTACTACAACAACAACAAGATTACATTTGTATAGCGCCTTTCACGTTGGGAGAACGTCCCAAGGCGCTTTATGCAGTTTCTTTGAGATGTCCATTCTGACATGACTGGTATAATAGAAGTGTAAATGTATTATTGTGATAGCTTTCTGGGTGTGATTTATCAACTTATGGTGAATTATGTGAAGGTTTGTACTGTAGTCCTATGCCAGTAGGAATGGATTGCAACTGTACCTGTTAATTTCCCCCCTGTCTTCAGCAGGTACCACAGAGAAAATCTTCTTAGATTTAAACTCAGGTTGTAGAAGTAAAAGGAAAGTGGGACGTAGAAGCTAGTACAGCTCTGTCACATCAGCACAGTCTTAACGATTGAACCTGGGCCATCTTCCAAATTTTTGTGGCTCAGTAACACATTTATCCATAGAGCTTTCAGAAGAACATAATCTCATGCATGAAACCATTCCGGATTTACATTGTAATCGTTTGAGTAGTTTCTGTCTTCTGTCCAAATCAGAAATGCAACCAGATTACTGTTACACCACGTCTTGTGTGTGGCTTGTTGTGTTAGAAATTGTTTGTTTCGATTTCATTAAACACCTACACACTGGTACCTTATTCCTTCCCCTGCCCTTCTATTTCTTTCTTGCTCCACTCCACTTTTGGACTTATCTTTAGTATGCTACACTGACTCCTGCTGTACACCTATAATGCTTCTTTCTTAGGTCTTGCATTCTATCCCCCATCGCTCTCCCTGCTCACAGCATAAATCCAGTCAATGAAATAGGTATCTAATAATAACATTGCTTTCATGTTTTTTGGAACATTACTTGTGGTATTTTTAGCCTTGGGCTATTCGTGTATATTTGGGAGGAAACAATTGCATTAAATGAAAGGAATTCAGCATATGGAGTCTTGTTTACTGTGGTTTCCAAAACCAGACTCTCTGATTTAGAATAGTTGCTTGGTAGTGTTTTTTTCCTTTTAAAATTGTCAACTTTTCCTTCTTTCTATGCTGAAGGTCCTGCTTGCGCTTCTGGACATGGGCTAGCCTCTGGCATCTCACACGAGTGTCAAGCCCGTGGAAGACTAAACATTGAGCTTTGGCAGGCTATTCCAACATGAGAAGCAGAGCTACAGAGCTTGAACTTTTTATATAGTATATGGAGAGCAGTGCAATTTCTCATCCCTGATTTCTAAAGAGCGGTAACTCGGATTCAATGTCCTCTTTCTCGCTGTGATGATAAGGGCCTTGTTTAATAACTATTGATGAATCACACTTATATTGGAGACAAAATGTGAACTGTAATCTGGCAATGCCAGGGAAATGCTGCCAAAGTGTCTGCTGCTAATCCTTTTTTGCTTAGCTGTGTTTTTTTTTGGCTTATTGATGTTCAGAGTAGAAAGTTGGATGACAAACTAAGGAAACCACACTTTTTTCAGACAAACGGGAGTTGGGCCAAGTGTTGTGACGGTGGCGTGACCCTGAGTATGTTTGTTCAGTGCTCTTCAGAATGAATGCTGGTTCTGGGGGCTCGATAATTACACTGTGCAGAGGTTATGTAGAGAAAAGCAATTGTAGGCCCGAAATTCCATCGAGTCGTTTTTTCTAAGACCATGTCGCCTTAAAATTTAAGATTGCACAGGACTGTGGAAAATTCTCAACAGCTGTTTTAATTTGGAAGCCTGTTTTCCCAATGTTCTTAAAATGAACTGAATTATTAATTAAGATTGGATTTAAGAGTTTTCCAGAATTCTTCACTATCTTCTATTTTAAGAGAAAATGGCCTCACAAACTAAAACAGTGGAATTTCAAACCAAATAGGCTAGGCTGGCACTCTGTTGTGTAAACCTTCTTTGTTGGCTGTCAAATTGTGATGTTGAACAAATCATTATCATTTATATAGCACCTTTTACATCGGGCAGATGTCCCCAAAGTGCTTGACATTTTTGCTGGAGTTGGTGGGGGGTTGTGGAGGAGGAGGGGGGAAATTACCAAACACACATAAAGAAAAAAAGTAGGCCTTGATACTCATGATGAGAGATCGACGTGAAAAAGATGTGGGTGGGGAATGAAATGGGGCAGTTTTAAAAGTACAGTAATTTAAAGCACAATGCAGTATGTGAAAATATTACATTGGGGGTAAAGGGGGGGAAAGGTTAATCAAAACTTAAATAAGTCTTTTCTCTCGAAGGAACGTGCTGGAAAGGGTTTTGTATTTGTTCACCTGGTGTGATTGTTGTGGCCAAAGCCCGTCGGAAATTAAAACTTTTGTCACCGTGTATTCTTTCAATATTAACAACAAGTCGTGTGCACCTGTACTGTTCATGTAATGGAACCAGGGAGGAAGTGTCTTTGACTGCTGGCCGACTGTCACGCAGATATAGTCATTTAAGTCTAATTTGCATGTCTGGTGAGGTGAGACTTGCATCACAATTCATGCAGAGAGTATTAGAAATTCTATACAGCACACATTATATATGTATCCTACATTGGTTGATAGCATTCTTGTCTCTGCTTCTGAGTCAGAATGTCGTGGGTTTAATATAAATTTAGCCAGACACAATCACGTCCCCCCCACCCCCCCACCCACTGGCTCAGAGACAGGCTCCTCCACTGTTAAGCGCTGTGAGACGCTACAGTGCGCAGAGGGCGCTATATAAGTGCAAATTATTGTTATCGCACAGACACTGGATAGATTGGACAAAACCAACCATCCCTGATGTGTCCGGCTTAAGCGGCTTCCACTTTATATACCATATCAGTGCAGTATCAAGACTGACGTGCTGATCTACATAACTGTAGAAAAAGTTCAACTTGAGCCATTATCTCAGGTAAACATACAGATAATAAAGATGTAACCATTCACAACCTTTGGCATGTACTGTGTTTCCTTAAAGTTGTAAACATAGGGATCCTCGAATGATTTTGCTTCACTTATCCAGATCTTCACTTATCCAATTTGCTGTGAACAGCAGCCTCAAAATAATTTAGTTTTAATGGCAAGATATCATGCGAGTTTCCTATAGAATATTTCAATCTTTTACAAGAGTCCAATTTTGATAATCCTCTGTGAAGTCGTAATGTCCTTGAAGTTTACCATTTGTGACATTTTGGGGGCGAAGCTGTGCTGTGCTCTTACTAGGAACACTGAGTTAATTGTAGAAAAAAAAATCAGCTTTTGCCAGGCATTCAAAACTTCAGACTGAATTAAACCTCTCATTCAGTGCATTGATGGCAGAATGTAGAAATGCACTGTTTACTGTATTGCCTTAGATTCCACCTCTTTGTTTTAGATTTGTTTAAGAGCGATTCTACCAGAGCCACAGTTCTTCCAACCACTTGGATGTAAACTGATGCAAGGAGATGCTGAGGGAGGCAGCTCATCGAGGCTACTTTAAGTTATTTAAGTGCTTATATAATTGGCAGAATGAAAATCAACCCAAGGTTTATAGGTGAAAAAAAGAGTAAAGGTGTGGAACTGAAATCTGAAATAAAAGCAGGAAATCTGAAGCAGGGTACGGTTAACTTATTTTTCACTTTCAAATGCGGAATGACTTTCTGTGTATTTCCAGCATTTTTTGTTCCAGTTTCTTTTAATGGTGACTGTAGTAAAGCAGGTGGACTGTGGCTCTTTGATCCTGTGCCCCAAACTCTACCTGTTTACCAGGGCGGAAAAGTTGCCTGTGGTATAAATGATCTGTTGAGTTCGCTGGCACAAGAGTCAAATTGGCAAACAACTCATGCTCTCTGTTAATTTCTCAATGTGGGCACTTCAGGCCATCGCGCACACAGACTGAGACAGCCGTTTGCTAGCTCATGCTGAGCAATGATTCTCTTCCCTCGGTTCACTTACTACTTGAAAGAAGCCTTGTGGAAACCATTTATTACAAAAGGCAATAGAGAAAGCTTTTCAAAGGCATCTCTCTGTCTAGGTTGCAGTCCGCAGGTGAAAAATATTCCATGTTACAACTCTAATGATTTACATATAGTTTAGTCTAATTGTAATTTTAAAGGTCCTAATTTAAAAGACTTTCGCTGATTCCCTCAGGAGATCCCCTTACTCTTCAAATCAAAGTTTTGGATGGGGGGGAGGATCTTCTCTTAGCCTCTAACTGTAGCTATGTTGAGGGCTTTTTCTGTTGTAGTCAGTACTTGGTATCCAAATCTTATTGAGAACAAATTGCTGCTAAAATAAATTCAAAGGCATAAGCACACATTCGCTTTATTATTTCTGAGGCCAGTTGCTGGGTGGGAGCAGTAAAAGCTCAACAGAATATTCTTCATTGGAAATTCTGTGTTGTTCATCCTTTCTCTCTCTTTCCCCCACCCCTACTTTACCATCCACCTGAGGATCATTAGCCATATGCTAAGCATTGGAAGCTTTCCTGATGGTTCAATGAATGAACACATTGCCTACTGTGAAACTTAGTCCTACAGACCAGATAGTTGCATGTTCAGTCCTAGGACTGTGCTGAATTTGGCTGAACTCAGCCAGGGCAGAAATTGGGATGCTACAGTGGTATCCCTCATCTTTAGAAGAGAAAAGTTTGTGTGTGTGTTGTCGACATTTGGAGAGGCCATAAGCAGGCTTGGCTCTGATGTTTGGTCATGGTTAAATAGCCTGTCTACATTTTCTGGCTGGGCTAACAGATGAAGAGTGGGTGAAGTTGAGGAGAGTGACAGTCACCTGTGAAATTGTACCTCACAAGGAGTCAGTGCCTTCAGCAGAATTGGGGGTGGGAATTTGGAGTGTACAAAAATTAGTTAGTGGATTTCTAAGAGAAAAAAGTCAGTTAAAATGTAAACTTCCTAAGGAACTTTGCACACTAGAGATGAAAATAGCAGCGTGTGGGAGAGGGGATTAGGAGTGGTGGAGGCTCATATGGAGTACAAACCAATTGGGTTGAGTGGTCTATTTCTGTGCTGTAATAGTCCTATATAATTCAATGTAACTGTGACTGTGTCCTACTGATAATAAGAATCTTTAATGTACAATTTGGGAACCGGGCCAGGCTGTGCTACAACAGAATGTTCAGTTCTTAAAATACTTAGCACAAAATATTAATTACCATAATCAACACACGTGATGCATCTGCTTCAACAAACCGTAACCTTTTCAACATATATTGTGCAACCTGCTGTAGAATTGGGAAGAGATTGGGGCAGCTTGACTTTGACCTAGTAAACCTTTTGTTTTGCTTATGTGCAGCTTCCCTCACTGCTACCAGCAATGAATGTGTCAGGGATGATGGGTTTGGGTCGTGAAATAATGCTGGACTGGGTGGGCAGCAGCACTCCGGGGAAACGTGGAAACCGATGATTAGCTGGGAATGTAGCTTTCAATAATGGAGATTGTCTTTCACCTTACAGTTGGAGGCTGTTGACCTTTCTAGCAGCTCGCTTCACTGAGCAATTGAACCACATGGTCTGGTACTGGGAAGGTGCTACAAGTGACCTTAGCATTTCTGAACTTAAGGAAGAGGAAAGGTGTGCATGTGTGTGTGGCTGCGTGCACACAATGACTTCTCAATGATGTGATAAGGCACATAAGTATAAGTAAAACTCACATAAATTTGATTTGTATATTCGCCTAAATCGTACATCTGCCCAAGTTCTGTTCAAGATTTTATATTCCATGCAAGTTTGACATAACTCATACTTTGCATAAGTTGTGTTAAATGTATGGTCCCAACTGATGTGACTTATGTGATATGGTTTACTGGTATATCAAATGCAAAGATTATTATGATAATTTGTTTCTTCTGTCAGTGCAAGTATCTTAAGTTAGAGCGCTCTGAGATGCCGTCCGGCATGGAGCGCGCTATATAAATCCAAATTGTTGTTGTTGTTGACTCTGTTTGAAAAATCTTTGTAGTTTTGCTAACTTTTTTTCTTTCCCTTTTTTTCTTGCCGCAGACGTATATTGGAAGTGTAGTTATATCCATGAATCCGTACAGACAGTTACCAATCTACACACCAGAGAAGGTAGAGGAATATCGTAACAGGAACTTCTATGAGCTCAGCCCCCACATGTAAGTACATGAGACGAAAGCCACTTCCACTCACTCACTCACTCAAGTAAAAGAGGAGCATAAGGGACCAGCTGTTTACTTTGGATGAAGGGTAGAAAGAGGATGCGAATGTTTTATCCCATTGTGTTCTTATTAGCCTGGTCTACTGAGTTTATTTGCAATTTGTACAGTAATTGTAAGTGCCAGCCAAATTATTCCATCATTGACATTCTTCAGTTCCCCTTTAAATATGTTCAGTCGAAATATGGTATGTTTTTTTTCCCCCATTGCGCTTGACCTTTCTGTCCCTGCAACATCTGCTAACCCGTTCTTTGTTGTAAAATAAACCGGGAAGAACATTGCTTTGTAATGACTTGTGCTTGTGTGTGTGTGTATATATAGATGTATAAAAATATAGAACTAGGAGAGCGAGGCTCCGAATAGTGTTGCCATTCATTTACTGTTGGGGACAAACAGGATTTCCAATGATACCAGGAAGTAAAGGCAAAAAGTGAACGTAGAATATCAGTGCAGAGTTCAGAAAAGAGTTAGTAAATATTTTATAGGGAATTAAAAGGAGGCTTTATAATTAACTCATCCTAATAGTTAGCCTGCTATTCCATGCATCTGTGCAGCAAGCCCTAGAATATAGTCAGGCCAACAGTGTGTCAGCTCGGCATAGCTGAAACCCACAGCACTATTGGTTCAGGGTATAGAGACTGTGGGTTCAAGCCCCACGGTAGGACTTTGAACTTATCGCCTGGGCTGACACACGGGGTGGGGAATAATTGCGAAAGGTGCATTTTAACACTATTCCTTAATTAAATGTTCAAGAATATCACTATTTTAGGCCCCAGACTTCTAAATAAGGAGAGCATTGTGTACGATAATAATTCACTGCAGAATTTGGTGGGGGTGGTGGTGGGGGGATGAGATACTGGATGAATATAAAGCAGTTCCAGAAGCAAGGAGGAAAACCCACCAATTTCCTGAGAGGATTGTGCTTGATAACACTGCTTCTTATTTCAAATTTCAATCCAGTTTATCTGCAGTCCTGACATGACACTGTGCTGATCAGTAAAAGCCAATGAGCTGCATCAATGCCAGTAAGCCTGTCTCCCATTGCAATCAAGTAAGGCAGCTTCTTCCTTAATGTCCATGTGTATTGTATCAGCCACCGTCAAGTAAGCACAAGGCAGTTGTACTAATCTTCAGAATTTATTTCCTCATCTCACTCTCCCCCACCCCCGCATCCCTCCATCAACAAAAAGGTTCAATGCAAATTATTGTCACATGATACATGAAAGAGAAATGTAAATACTGTAAAACAGCTGTCTTTCCTCTCTGCTATTGTGTGGCAGACATGCCTTTGTGCCCCTAAACCAATTGCCAAGTCCACACTATTTGCATCTTTCCTAAATCATTTTAATAGGAAAGTGGGGCCGTTGCTTTCTAGTTGGAGTCACTAGATAGAGATCGCAAGTGAAGAACTTAACACAAACTGCCCATTAAACCAGGAACATTCCTGGGCAGTAAAATCTTGGCCATAAAATGCTCTCGTTGTTAAATTTATCATTTAAATATCCTGGTCACCATACATTTTGGGCACTAAAATCCTGCCCTGCATGACTGAGAACCACATCAGGTGGTACATTTATCCACTGACTGTTTGGGTTAGACCCTCTTCAAACAGCTGGATACAATCAGATGTTTTTGAATTATTGTAATAAAAGGTGTTTTACACCCGTCAATCCTCTATGAAACGTGATGATGAGATGTGAAGCTTGTAGCAGTTGAGTTCAATGAGATGTCATAAAAGACACGATACATGTATTTGCATTCCCTCTTTATCGGTTCAGTTTTTTGTGCTGTAGTATTGAACCAAATATACACTTTGCCAAGTTACCACGTTTTTTTTTTCTTGGTCCCTTTTCCCCTTCCACAGCAGCAGGTGAAATCTCAGAACAGAACTGAAGTTCTCTAAATGAAATTCTCGGTTAAACAGATGTTTTTTTATATAGTGATGCATTTTCCAGTGTGTTTCACATTAACTATCACCTACACTGGATGCAGAAGATAAAAGGATTACATGGCTTCATGTTGCACAGTTGGTACTTAAAAATGTGCTACGAAGCCTGGACATACACAACTGTGTCTAATCAGTCTGGGGGAACAGTAAAGAAACACATCTTACTGCTGTAAAATTGAATAAGCCGTAGGAATACATCAACTGTTAAGTAACTGTGAACATAGGACCTGATGTCTATGTGTGGGGGCTGAAAGATTAAAAGTGTTTTAATCAGCCTGTGCTCCGAAGTTCTTGCTCTAGTGCGAGGCAGAGTTATTATTCAGTCACAGGTTTGGACAGTGGGTAAGGCACTACCATGTTTTCCTGGTTCTCTGTGCCGATACAGTCACTACACTTGATAGTATGTTCTGTGAAGTGCATTGAGATGTCTCGAAGATGTGATAAGGCGCTTTATAAACAAACAACAACAATAATAAAAATTACATTTGTATAGCGCCTTTCACGTCAGGGGGAACATCCCAAAGTGCTGGACAGTCAGCGTTTCGGACCTGAGCTGGGGGTCGGGATTGGGCAGAGTGGAGGACAGGGTGAAAGCACGGTTGAAGAGGAGGGTCTTGAGATGGGTCTTAAAGGAGGCAAGGGAGGGGTGAGTTGAAGGGACTGCGGGACTGTCAAGAGAGCGGGAGCAGGGTGGCAGAAGGCCCAATGGTGGGCCGGGCGAGGCGGGGGACGTGAAGCAGGCCAGAGCCCACTGAGCGAGAGTGTAGGGGGGATGGTAGAGCATTAGGAGGTCGCAGAGGTAGGGGGGAGCAAAACCATGGAGGGCTTTGAAGGTGAGGACCAGGATCTTGAATTGTATCCTCTGTGTGATAAGAAGCCAGTGGAGTCAGGCGTGGATGGGGATGATAGGATCACGGAGCCTAGTGCGTGAGAGGACATGACCTGCAGAGATCTGGATGATCTGCAGCCTATGGAGGGAGGAGTTGGGGAGGCCGACATGCAAGGAATTTGCATAGTCAAGCCTCAATGTAATGAATGCGTATATGAGAGTTTTGGCAGCCTGCGGGTGAGACAATGGCGGCATAAAATGCAAGGATTATTTTAATGATTTTGCTCGTAGCGGTCTTCCTGATGTCTTGCGAATCATGGCAGCTTAGAAAAGAACCTTGTGTGTAGCGATTATTCAGGATTAAGAAAGTAAAATTGGGGAGAGTGAGTGAGGGAGATGTTATCTTATGTGAAAGGCATGACATAAATGCAGGTGATTGTAAGTAAAGTAGAGCAACTCTTGGAAACCTGTCGAGTGGAGCTGTCTTCACAGCTCAGGTTTGCTGAAGCAGTTTAGTGACAACTCCCTTTGTCTTCAGGAAGGTCAGTGGGGCTAGAACTTGAAATACTGTCTTATGGCAGTAGAGGAAAGAAAGTGGGAACTTGGCTTCCAATGTCAGCTCTCAGGGAATAAATGATGAGGGTGACTTGATGGCTAATTTCAACCCTTTTTTACAGCAACCGCAATTCTTTCAAGACATCTGTAGCGAGGTCCAATAATTTGCAGTATCACAGAACAGTCATAACCTCTCGTGCCACTGCAATGCAATGCTGGAGGTGTGTTGCATTGTTGGAGGTGTCATCCTTTGGATGAGACATTAAGCTGAGGTCCCGACTGCCTGTTCACATGGATGTTAAAGATCCCATGGCACTATTCGAAAAGAGAAGGAAGTTTCTCCAGTGTCTTGGCCAACATAACAATTGGCCATTCACTTCATGAATGTTTGTGGGATATTGCTGTGTGCAAACCGGCTGCTGAGTTTCAACCACAAAAAACACTTAACAGTATTTCCCGTGACCCACTTTCAGACGTCTCGACAACATGATAAGGCACTAAATCAAATGCAAGGATTTTTATTAATATAAGTGACGATAATATAATATCGTTATATTATAATAATACAATAATATATAATTATTATATTATTATAAGTGACAAGTTTAACAAACGGTGGCCTCAAATTGTGGTTCAGAAAATCACGACTTTCTTACAGCCTCAATTATAATGCAATAGGTCCAATACAGTATAGCCATGAAAGTGACTTTATAATGCAGTAACACTAATACATATAGTCATGGAAGTGATGAGATTGTGCATTACACTCCTATGGAGTCCTGCAGCTCAGTGGCTAGAGCATTCGCCTTGCAAGTGAGAGACCTGGGTTCGATTGCCAGCAGGGTGAAACCTTAGGCAAGTTTCCTTACTCTACACGCCTGATAGTAATCCCTCAAGAAAAAAAAACAATAATAAATTGGTCACTTCAATCCACGACTGTTTGTGGGACACTACTGTGCGCAATTGTCGGCTGCATTTCGCCCACAAAATATACAGTTAAATCACTTGACATTATATTCTGTGAAGCGCTTTGAGATGTCTTGAAGATGCGAAAGCGCTATATCAAATGCAAGGATTATTATTATATATTTTTATTACACAGCTAAAGAACTGTAAACCTCTACAGAGTCCTATCATTTTAAATAGCACTATTTGTAAGGTACGTCACAATTTGCACGTTCAAGCACTGTTCATTGCAATACTGAGTCCTTTGAGAGTTAAGGACCTGATTCTATTTGTTCCTAGGTTGTCTGATCATACGGTGCCTGTCTTGGCTGAACTCAGCAAAGCTGGTCTGATTGAGCAAAGCGAATGAAACTGCTTGTGTCACAGGATTCCACTCGTTTCTTCATTCAATTGCTGATGCATCCATGTGTTCTGGACTGAAGTTGGTCTTTCTTGCACTTGCTCAGGTTATTTGTGACTAATATTGTCTCCTTACTGCAAGATGATTTCTCTTCCCACATTTGTTTTTGAGACCGGTTTCTAATGATAAACATACATGAAATAATAATGAAAATGAGCTGCAGAGCTTTTAAGCTGCATTAACTAACACATAATGATTTTGTGCTGGACAATGGGAGGAGGTAGCTTCTGTGCTATTGCAGG